CCCGACCCAAAATGTCAGCTTTCCTGCTCCTCTGATGCTGCCTGGCCTGCTGTCTTCCTCCAGCTCCACACTGTGTTATCTCAGACGCCAGCATCAGCAGTTCTTATTATCTCTACCTTATATACCTACCTTCTGGTCTTGACCATTCCATTAATGGAAGCAGTTTCTCCTGATCTACCCTATCCAGATTCATCATGATTGCACATAGTTCTAGCAAATGACCTCTTGATCTTCTGTTCCAGGAAAACAGTCCCACCCTCTCCAGTCTTTCTATATAACTGGTGTTCTTCATCCCTGGAACCATTCTCATGAATTGTTTCTGCACCGTTTCTAATGTAGTCACATACTACATAAAATGTGATAACCAGAAATGCTGCAAATGCTGCAGTTGAGATCAAATCAGTGTTTTGTGTAGGGATAACAAACTTCCTTGCTTTGTAGTCTGTGTTGCTACTGATAAGTCCAGGTGCCATTTGCTTCATTACCACTCTGGCCAAGGGAATGAATCATTACATTGTAGACAATCAAATCCTACCTCAAGACACCATCCCCTAGCTAGCAGAAAGATAATGCACAAAAAGTAATTTCAACTCTCTAGATGTAATAATTATGATAGCACAACTTTGCTCAAACAAAACAAAATGAGAAAACTTCGGGTATCGTCATTGCCCGAGGCTTCAAATTCTACATTAAATGTCAAAAATGTGGATGGTCCCGCTGATGATTGCACAATGCTCAGCACCCCTCAGATATGAAATCAATCCATCTGATGTGCAGCAAGACCTGGACAACATCTTGTGGGCTAAGTTAAATAACATTCATGCCATACAAAGTGCCAGGCAATGACCAACAAGAGAGACACTAATTGAAATTCAATGGCATTACTATCGCTGAATCTCCAACTATCAATATTTTGGGGATTCCCATAGATGAGACAGAACTGGATATCCATATAAATGATGTGGCTACAAGACCAGGTCTGAATCTAGGAAGCCCATAGTGAATAACAGACTTCCTGACTCCCCATATCCTGTCCACCATCTACAAGTCAGAAGTGTAGTGGTATACTCCTCACTTGGTTAGATGAATGCAGATCTAAAAACACAACAAAATTGAGAAGCTCAACAGCATCCCGAGAGAGGCTGCCCATTTGACCCATCACTACCAACTTAGAAAAATCACCCTCTCTGTCTCTGATACAGTGACAGTATAGTATACAATGGACTATAGTTTAGCAATGTCATAGTCCTAGCACATAGTCACCCAACCCCAGGCTAAAATGTTGGAGTGTGAGGCGACTAAGTCAAGATCTTATCAGCTGCCCTGCAGCAATTCAATGCTGAGAGAAGTTTTAATGCTTTAAGATGGGAGTTTTGGTCTACTTTCAGTAGGACATCTCACCTTCTAGTCAATTGGATCAGTGGCAGTTGTGTTGGTGCAGCTGAGTGATCGGGAGTGTTGACCATTACTGGAGCTGCAGACAGTCCCACCAAACTGAGGATGCAGTTTGCCTAGAGTCAGAGGTCTTCCTGGGCCAAGATTGGCAACGGGAGGACTAAAAAGGTGGGTGGGAGATAACCATTTATCAGCCACCTAGGAGCCTTAAAAGGTTCACCTGTATGCAGATTTCATGACAACATCTTCCTGCAGACAGTTAGGTAGCATATAGGCCACACAGCCTTCAGAACCAAATGCAGGGGAGCATGAAATCTTTGATAACACTCTGATAATCTTTCTAAACCCACAACCTCCACAAGGACACGGGCAGAAAGCTCCTCTGTGCCACACACCAATTTGACTTGGAACTATATCACTGTTCTTCTACTGTCACTGGGTCTAAATCCTAGAGTTCCCTTGATAACAGCATTGTTTACCTAACCAGATTCATCACAGTTCAAGAAGTTAGCTCATCACCAAAATCAGTTAGGGATACCCAATAATGGCTGGCCTTGCCACAGTTGCTGAAATCCCATCAAAGAATGAAGAAGAAGGAAAACATAGCATCATCAAACAAATGTTCACCAGACAGACAACAAAATTATGGCTAAAACAGTTGAGAACCTCACCAAGGTATTAATTGTGGACTGCTTACCAAAAGATCAGTTTTGGTCACAAGGAAAGGTCTCCCATGAGCACAGCAGTGACAGGCTACCAGTTTCTGTGTTTGCCTCAAAGTTATTGGTGAGAATGAGAGGGAGCACGTACGCAGCAAGAAAGGGAGTTAACTTTTTAGGCCAATGATTTTCGGCCAGAATTGGTGACTGAACCAGGTAGCTTGAGGTACATTGGGGTCACATTGCAAAGTAAGTGGCTAAATAGCAGGGGAGTGGTGAATAGTTCTGGGGTTTGCAGCAACAAGAAGGTACGTCCTGGAATTGAGGAGCATATGATGCTCTGGGGTTTGGCAGATCTGAAATTATAATTCCTCGAACTGACTCATTTTGATAAAAGACTGACTGACTTCTGGTCACTGATTCTGACTGTATAGATTATTTGCATTCACATGCAAATTCATAGACCAGACATTTCAGCAAGACTCATATTCCAATGCGATAGATAAATATTTTTGTTAGACATATAAACATTTTTGATACCATGTAACAACTGATAACATCTTAAAAAGCGTTTATTTTAATACTTTGCAGAGGCAATTACAGAATGCAATATCAACCCCACTGAATTTGCAATAAAAGAAAAAGCATGACTCATTCCTGCAATACCGGAGACCAAAATTCTGCCTGCTTTGTATAAGAGAAAAGAATGAGTAAGTGCTGCAGAAGTGAATGAGGTAAAATTATAACCTTGTCAATCCAATTCTGGATGAGCAAATGTTTAATTACTTACTTTCATATTAACCCCCTTATCAGAAAATATATATAAAAGTGTTAGCTGTATGTGATTCTGAATAAAATCAGATTACAAATATTGAAAAAAGGTTGCATTGAATACCTGGTATATTTTTGCAAAACATGCAAAGTGCAATAGCAACATTAAAGAAAGAACTGTTTTAGAGAGTAAGTGGTTAAGATTTTGAACATGTTGTCTGATTATGGGATAGAGGCAAGCTGAATGGAGGCCCTCAAAATAGAGTTGAATAGTTAGCTGACAAGAAATAGGTTGCAGGGCTGTGGGGAAAGGGCAAGATTTTAGCAGTAGCTGAATTGAGCTCATAGAGAACTGGCATGGACATGATAGGCCAAATGATATCCTTATGTGCTGTAACTTTCTATGATTCTTATCCAGCAATTCTACGGAAAGTACAAGAAAAATACATCAAAATCATCATTTCTCATGACTTCAGGTGATTTTCTTGTTCATTATTTCTTTATCATTCATTCATTCTCATCCAAGTTACTGCCTCAGATT